AGCACATGCAAAGCTAACCGACCCACCCACCACAGCTCACCGTACACGGAACCGGTGTCCAACCCATGGGCGAAAGGGATCCAAGGCGCGTCGCCTTGAAATCCAACACAAGCCCCTTGCATGCAACCAAAGCCATAAGCCGGAGACCGTCTCAATTAAAAGCGCCCTGTGTAGCCAAAACCGCCTTCAGGGATGCAAGCGGCCAGCTGCTCAAACTAATCCATACCCTGACTGCAGCTGCCACGTGCGCCACGTGAAATGACACAACCCCCCGAAGGCGGTCAGACCGGGCAGGGCCTTGATGGCCACCACCTCGCCCGTGGATTTGATGCGTGCCTTGTAGACCTGACGCTTGGTGCGGGGCCGAAATGCAATGGGGCGAGTGCTACCTTGCATCTCCTCTAGTTTGGAGTGCCCACCACTGAAATAGCACGCCTCTGGATCCTCCATGACTTCTGGCATCCATTCACTTAGATGGCCTGTCACGACTTGACTAACCAGTTCCTGTTCCATACGTTTAGTTGCGACGGGTGCATTGGGGCCTGAATGAGACAACCTTGTTGAAAGCGCTTTTGCGTTCATGCGTCTGGTCAAGCGTGCTTCTTCTCAAACAGAGTGAGAAGATCGACAAGAGTGACAAGAATGAATACATGTTGCCTTCCGGCAGCCGGCTGCAAAGCAAAGCGTGCTATGTGGCTCAAGGCAGATGAAGCCACATCAACCGCCATGCGTTTCAGCAAAGTTACAGCGTCCTGACTCAAGGGGGACATTGACCTCGCAGAAAGGACGTGGAGTGAGATCTGGATTGTGATTCATCCAGATCGGCAATTCGGAGGACACACTGTTCTCCATGCGAGATCATGCAAGCCAGGACCCATGCAGTATCATGAAGCCCGATGCTGGGGAATGTGAGGCTACGTCCCACATGCTTGCAAAGCCTGTGCGTGGATCGATCCTTACTTGTCATACTCATTTTCTTTGTAGTGCAATCAAAGGTCGTCGTGTGGCAAACTTTTGTGCCAACACGTTTTGTTTGGAGATCGCTGGAAAGGGTACTCTGTGCCATCACCCATCGTCTGCGCCTGTCCGATGGAGGCAGAACCAATGGGCTTGTTACTCCAATCGGTGAAGGCGTCCTCGATTCCACCTGCGGGGTGCTGCAACCTTCCTGGGCAAATTGCCCGCCAACATGACCATGACTGCTTGAGCATTGCTGTGTGTGTGTGTGTGTTTGCATATGTTCATGTGCGTTCGCAGGGGCATCTGTCAGTGCATGCATGATGTACGAACAACATGCAGGCATGCGTGCTTACGGGTTCATGTACAGGCATGCGCGCAAACGCACGAGCCCAAATGCATAAAATCATGAACCACTAGATAAACAAATAAAGCAATTCACACACGCAACTAAACAGAATAACAAACCAAAACATGACTGAATAAGCAAACTAGTAAATCGACCAATCATAGAATAATCAAGTAACTGATGAACAAACAGCTCAACGGACAGCGGCTTGATTAATGGACATGGCTTGGACATGGAATGGGCATGGAATGACATGGGATGAACAAATGGACGGAACATACATGGATGGATGGATGGATGGATGGATGGATGGATGGATGGATGGATGGCTGGATGGCTGGATGGATAAATAAATGGATGGATGGTAGGGCGGGCGGGTGGGCGGGCGGGATGAAATAATAACATAAATGCATGTATGATTGAGTGCATCAGGAAATGAACAACTTCATCAATGGATGGAGCCAATGCTCAAATGTATGCATGCATGCCAGTCACTAAGTCAGCATTGCATACACTTGTGGGTATGCATGAAGGCGCGGGCGTGCGCACGAATGTACATGCGTATGCATTCGTGCATGAATGTGCAGATCTGTTTGCCGGTCTCTGTCTCTGCCTGCCTCTGTGCCTGTCTGTGTGTCTGCCTGCCTGCCTCTCGGTAACCCTGCGGGCATGACATGACTGGGTAGTGTGCAGCCACATCTTGTGCATTTGAGTTGGACGAACCATGTTAAAAATGTGCTCACGCGCTTGTGTGTGTGTGTCCGAATATGAATGCATGACCCAGAAATGTATGAATGCATGTGCGCTTCCAAGCACGTAAATCTAAGGAAGACACATTGAACCCACACATACACAGCTGTATTACTGTACAAGTTTGTTCGCATTTCTTCAACAAATACGTTTCTGCTTACATCATACATTAGCATGCCTCAACTAACGTCCTCATGTGTGCAGGGGGTATGCAGACAGGCAGGTTGGCAAGAAGGCAGGCAGGCAGCCAGGCAAAAGGGCGGGTAGGTGAGTAGCTAGATAGCATCCAAACGATTGAATCGTTGTCAACCTCGAGCGGACAGCGACCACGCCAGCACTGGACCAAGCATTGTCAAACCGTGTGCTTCGAGGTTCGCTTCAATTTCGCAAGTTCGATTGTAGAAGTTGCCTGGCTTCTGCCACCCTGCCTCTGCCAGCTCCTGGCTCAACAAGCTGGGAGAAGCAAAAGTGGGGCCCCTGGAGACAACCCCAACCCTCTTGCGTCCATCTGACGTGCCTAGGCCGAGCTCCTGTGCGACGCAAAGCTTCGCTTCATCTGTTTCCAGTGCCACGGGGGCCTCCGCCTGCAACTATCAGCCGGGCACCAGAAGTCATGCCCAATCCACATGCAGTTGATTTTTGTTTTTCACAAGTAACAAACAACTAAATAGTCGCCCGTGATTAACTTGACCAATTGTTACTCTGGCCGCATTGGAGGCATCTAAGCCCTAGCACCTGACCATGCACATGTCCGCAACATCCCAGCAAGTCGCTCTGGGCGTCGGCTTGTTTTGGCTTTGTCGCGGGGTTGTGGCCCAAAGGCGTCAGCCCAGCAGTCCAAGACCAATGCGAGCACCAAACTCCAATGGGCTGGGCAGGCAATTTCAGGTCACCATCAAAAAAGCCCCTGGTGGTTTGGAGGTAAGGGAGGGGGGCTCTTCCCGCTGGGGCTCCAGAATCAAACAAAAGGTTTAACCTCCAACACTCCAGTGTTCAAGTTATGGAGGATTTATGGCGGTTGGTAATCGCGGCGATGGCAAGCCTCCACTGTTTGTTTGCCAAATGATCTCTTGGGACGTGGCAGGAGAGAGGCCCACGGCATGTGGCTCGCGGGCCAACGAGATTGAAGTCGAGCCGGCTGAAACCCCTCCCCGACCCGGGCCTGCAACTTTTTCGCCCACTCCAGGTACTGCGGCGGCACATAATCGTCACGCCTGGTGCCCAAGAGATGAACAGGATGGCGTCTTTGTTCAGCTGAGTCATAATCAAAACCCGGTAGTAAAATGGTCGACCCAGAACCATGTGAAGAATTAAGAACGCCCCGCGGCTATTTCTGGTTGGGATTGTCCCTTACTAACCTTCATTGTGACTCAGCTGCTTTCGACGCAATTGCAAACACCAATCCGCCAAGCGTCATGGAGAAGAATTGGGCAACCTTTAGGTAATAGCCGCGCAGTTTCAACGTGGCATCTCGCACAATGGGCGAGTAGTAGTCATGCAGCTTCTCCTCAGTTGCCAAGCGAGGGCAACATGAAAAGAACTGGCAAACAAAGCTCACAGTTAAACGCTAATTCAGTTCAGAAATGGCTCACCCCGACAGATTGACACAACTTTTTCTTTTGAGCCAGCATGGGCGCAAAATAGGCTACAAATAGTGGGAGAAGTTTCCTATTAGCTGTTTGTCGGAGTTTGATCTTTTCTGTCGGATGGTGTCTAGATTTGGGTCATGGTACCTGTTACTTTTGCAGGTGTGCCTCAGGTGTGCTATGCAGGTGTGCTATGCAGGTGTGCTATGCAGGTGTGCTATGCAGGTGTGCTATCACTTCTTTTTTTGTGGGGGGGTGGGGAGGTACTAACTTCAAAAGACATTGCGACTCACTGCATTGCAAGGGCCCATGGTGCATTCAAATGCCGAGGACACGTCAGCTGCTCCTCAAACCACCAAACTTCAGCATTGAGGGAGTTGCCCAACACAAGCAGGTTCACCAGATTTGCAGGGTAGCGTTGCACTAACAACATAGATTGGCAACGTGTCTACAAACTGGCCAAGGTTGCGGAAGACATGATCCACAAATGGCCGGGAGTTATCTTGATGAAAGGACATTGTGAAAGCCTCACTAAACGGTCAGAACACAATACAAACAAAATCACATGAAGCTAGGCAGTTTGATGGACACGATTTCCCGGATTCCATCCGCTGCACCCGTGTCATTTTGCAGGCGATGTCACGTGTGCAACCCTTACGTACAATGCAAATAGCTTCAGCCCAACGCATACCCTGTCAAAAAAATGCCGACCCAAACTCATGCTTACATGTACAATCTGCTGGCAAAAACCTCAAGGTCACACATTCCGCAAGGTCACCCATTCTGTACACAAAGTGTGACCGAAGTAAAGAGTGATACAAAAAGGACAAGAAGGGAAAGAGGCCTACCTCCGGTGTTCTTTTCCAGAATCCCTCTGTGGCCTCAAGTTCAAAAAGTTGATGCTCAAAGGGTCAAAGGGGCGATAGCATCCCAGGCCGTCTCAGGAAGAAACGTTCTCTACGAAAGCCGCATTATTGTTGATTTCAGCGAGTCAGGGCAGCTTCTCACACGAACAAGAAGTCTCAAAAAGGGAAAGCTCATGTCTCCTGATCGGCCCAATTCAGAGGCAAGCTGTGACATGGCTAAGCGCCCACGCAAACATCCACAGAGAGATCCCACCCAACCCTAACGCAGCCTGACCCCCTGGACTCCAATACAAGCACGCAAGATGCAGGCAGCACATCTGCCACAACCAGTCTGCACCCTGAAAATACAGCCCTTCGAGAAGTGCGCCCAAAGATGGTTATCATTTGCTGCCGCGAGGCGAACGCCGCTGTCCTTTCCTCAGATGGGGTCGGGTGCGAGATGCGGTCCACGAACTTGTAGTGCGCGTAAATTGGCAGCACCTTTCCATACAATTGCATGGAACCCCAGCAGCCATGAATGCATAAGTCTGATTTAGGTGAACCCCTTGTGACCTCCCATGTTGATTTGCAGGGGAGTATCTTCAGGCATTTGAAGGGGTGACTGATGGCAGGGGGCCAATCACAATCTCAGAAAGGGCGCGGTGCAGCTGATTGGAGCAAGCACCATCCCGCCAAGGAGCGCAAATCCAGAACTGCGCGCAACGATTGCAGCCTGGCATCGGGGTATCAAGGATGCCAGCTCACCAACTTCCAAACCAAAGCCGTCCCCATCCTGCAATAGCAGTCAGGATAGTCAGGCCAACGTGGCCCTCCGACAAGCCGATGCGGAATGGTGGATAGCTCGAAGTGTCAGTAGTTTCACATATTTGTCATGCGAGCGCATAGCCAAACCAGCGAGCTGACAGTCAGAAGCGCCACTTGCAACTTCCAAAAGCCCAATGGCGCGTACGCTCTCCCCCAACGGAGCCGACTGTTTGTGCTCAACAGCATACCTAACAGCGCAGCCCAGAGGAGACTTCTGAAGCTATCCGCCTTATGTGCTCAGTGACTGCCTGCAGGAACTGCTTGCCTTCCTGCCTTCCTGCCTTCCTGCCTTCCTGCCTTCCTGCCTTCCTGCCTTCCTGCCTTCCTGCCTTCCTGCCTTCTTGCCTTCTTGCCTTCCTGCTTTTTTGCTGCCTGCCTCAGTCGGCAGCCGGAACTTCACATCTAACAACCCATCTGCCCGGGGTGAAAAGCGCAACCCTCGCCTTCGTCGAGCACTGCAGCCACACCAAGGGCTGAGGCCGTGAAGGTGACTCCTGGCAAGGAGCAATGCACTCCAGTCACTGGCCAAGTGAAATCCAGTGAGCAATGCACTAGAAAGACTAGATCGGTTAACCCCTGATATGTGGCTTGGTTTCAACACCTCGGAAGGCACCTAGCTTGAGCGCCAGCCCAAGCCACGACATGCGAATTGGGACCATCAAGCTGATGGGATGGTGGATTCGCTTCCTGAACGTGAAAGGTTGGCTTGAATGACAACTTTACACGGGTGAGCCGCTCGAGTCAGCTTGTGATGATTCTGCTCTGTACTTTCAGAGAGACTCTGGCAACGCGTGAAAACGAGAAACCTTTAATCGGTTGCACGCTTTCAAAGAAGACCTGCATGAGCTTGGAGGCCCTCCAACACAGGAGGCTTGGGGACCCAAGCCGTGGTTTCCCCGCTTTGGCCTCGTTTTTTGGGTGGGTTTTCTCGATTTGGGGCTCCAGTGCTCCTCTAATGTTGCGCGCTCCAGTGATGGGGGGTTTTGGGGGCCAGGGCGGGCTATCTTGGCTAAGGATTGGTTTGGGATTGGTTTAGGGGTTGGTTTAGGGTTGGTTTAGGGCTTAGGGTTAAGTTTAGTGCTACAATGATCCTCTGGTAGTAGTTTGCCTTTAGTTGAGTGTCCACTAGAAGAGCACTAGAGGAGCACTAGAGGAGCACTAGAGGAGCACTTCACAGAAAACCAAGTTGCGGCCTCCCCGCACGTTGCTCCCCTGGTGCTCCTCCAGTGATCTACTAGTGACCCTTGGCACTCCAGTGATGATCTCATGTTGCTCTAGTCATCTTCTAGTGATCCTTTCCGGATCGTCGGTGATGCTTTGTAGCAATCCAGTGCTCCTCTAGTGATTTTCGAGTGATCCTCCTGCAGTGGTCCTCTAGTGATCCTCTAGTGCTACTCTAGTGCTACAATGATGCTCTGGGAGTAGTTTGCCTTTACTTCAGTGTCGCTGCAGGATCACTGGAGGAGCACTCGAGGAGCACTAGAGGAGTATTCTAGAAGCACTAGGGGAGCACTGGAGGAGCACTAGTGGAGTATTCTAGAAGCACTGGGGGAGCACTGGAGGAGCACTAGAGGAGCACTAGAGGAGCACTAGAGGAGCACTAGAGGAGCACTAGAGGAGGACTGGAGGAGGACTGGAGGAGCACTAGAGGAGCACTAGAGGAGCACTAGAGGATCGAAGGACCGGAAAAAAAACACACGAAAAGACGTCAAAAACGAAAAAACCACAGCTTAGGTACTTCTGCCGGGTTAGCTCCATTTCAACGTTGGCATGAAACCTTAACAGCTTCATCATCTTGCCCCGTGAGCCACTCTGCAAGCTAAAGGCCCAGCCGGCCGTCCCTGACCGCGCCGCAGGTCCTCCCAGACCTTGGAGCAGCCGACGCTTCCAGGGTCGGGCCACTGGCACGGCGGCGAAGCTTCGCGGGCCAGCCGCAGCCAGGCTGAAGGCAACCCGCGAGAGGGCCATGACCGACGGGGTTCCGCGGGCCCTAAGGAAAGCTTAAGGTCTCAGGCCGAATACTCCAAGAGACTTGCCAGAAGGCAGCTGACAGGGGTGGTGCTGCGGCCCGCGAGGTTTTGGTGGCACCATGACTGGGGTAGGCGAACTCCGGGCTGTGGGACGGAAAGAATGTAAATGCGGGCAAACCAACCATGAGGTATGATGAACTGCTCGACTTGCAACATTTAAGGCTTCCGCGCCCCAGTTCCGAGACCAAAACAAACACGGCCCGGAGCCAAAACTCGCAGGGCGAAAGCGCGGGACTGAACGCAAAGACTCTGTCCAAATGCAAGGAGGCCAATTAATGCCCAGTTGCGAAATTTCCTGGACAGGATAAATTGACCCTTTGGACATGTCCCCCCGCCTCCAGATATGGGAACTATCTAGGACCAAACCTTCCCACTGGCTACTTCTCATAGGGCCCCTCTTGTCTTGCAATTGCTGGAAATCGTTCATCTTCCATGTGCGCCGCGCTAAGATTTCATCGTGTCGAAAGTTGACATGAGCTGGCCACAGCGACTTTGGACTTATCTAGGGTTGAACACTGTTTGTCATCAAGAGTGAGATGATGCTCTGAATGCACAGTGTTGCCCCTGAACCTCGGGCAAATTCCCGGGCAGGCTCTGCTACACTGATGCTCTTGCTACCAAGGTAAGTGATACATACTTACCAGCAAGTAGCTAGACTGGCTGTTTGCGACATCCCCCATCCATGGCTTGCTAGTGGCAGCTTCTAAGGTTGGCTTGGAGACGTTCCATCAACAGCCAACATTGCACAACAGTGGCCAAGGGCCTTCATTCTTGGGGGGAATGCCTTTGATGCCTTTTGTCTCGACTTCGCCTAAAGCTGATTGACTTGCCCTCACCAGCTTTCTGACGCCAGTTTAGACCCTTCAAAGCATTCGATGCTTCTTCAAATTGGGGAGTGCAGGTGGCTGGGTTCTGCGAACACAGGGCGCAGGCCGCAAAGCGTGCCGGCGCACAGGATTCGCTCCTGAGCAGCCTGCCTGGGCGGGATGCATCCATATTCTGGGAGGCAGGACCCTCTTGATTCTGCCAAATACGGGCCATAGCTACGGCATGGGTATCTGACATGTTCCAGCACAGTATGCAATGATTGACGTATGCTGATTGATGTTGTTCCTTTCTAGGCCATGGCATACTCCACACACCCTGGGGCTCACAGCTTTGCTGGCTCTGGGAAAGCGACAGGCGCCGAAAACTGGCAGGCCTGCCCCACATCCGTTTCGAAAATCTCAGCGGTCCGATCTCTCAAAACACTTGGCTCCGGGCTCGGCTGGTTCATCCTGCTTTGGCTGCTGCTGCTGCTGTTGTTGCTGCTGCTGCTGCTGTTGCTGCTGCTGCTGCTGTTGCTGCTGCTGCTGCGCCTGCTGCAGATGAAGCTGAGCACGCCTCGGCGCACATGTGGCGCTCTAATAGCAGCGCAGGAGCGCAGCGTAGAGGTGGGCAAAGTCGCTCAAATTATTTGACTTCGAGCAATCGCCGCGGAAGACGCGCTCAGACGCCAACTTCTAAAGCCTGGACTGTCACGGCGCTGCTGGGAGCTTCAGGCTTCAGACTGTCGCCGCTGATGGGCTGTCACGGCTGTCCGGGCCTGCTGGCGGAGGTTGCGGCTGTCTTGGCCTGGCCACTGGCGGGAGCTGAGGCTTCGGACTGTCACTGTCACAGCTGTCGGTCACAAGTCACAGGCTCTGCCTAGCTGTCTGTCACAGCTGTCTGTCACAGCTGTCTGTCACAGCTGTCCTCTATCGCAGCTGTCCGTCGCAAGCTCTGTCTTAGCTGTCTGTCACAGCTGTCCGTCACAAGCGCCGTCACAGCTGTCTGTCACGATCTCTCTGAGCTGTCACTCACAACTGTCAATCTGTCAATCTGTTTGTCAAGCTTTGTCGCCAGTTGGCTGTCACAGGCTCTCTCGTAGCTGTCCGTCACAAGCTCTGTCGCAGCTGTCTGTCACAAGCTCTTGCACAGCTGTCTGTCAGGCTCTGTCGCAGCTGTCTGTCACAGGCTATGCTGGCAGGCGGGCTGGTTGTGGCGGTCGGCTTCAAACGACGGCTCGATGACATTGTCCGGCAGAGATGAACATTCCAATGGGAATGCCATGGTGGTTCAGCCTTTGGAGCACATCCATGGTCCTTAGTCATTTTGCGTGATTTGGATCTGCCTAGGCGGTGACAGGTCCTTTACTGCAAACGCATCACATGAGCTTCAACTGCGGTGGAGCATTGGCAGAAGGCACATGTTGCTATGGCTCGAAGCCTATTTGTTGATAGGCGATGCCGGCCTCCAACAACTGCAAGCAAATCAAGCAACAAATGACCTCCCAGTCTGAAACACGCAGGTATGTCCAGCTCGGGTTGGTAAGTCGTGTTCTCTTGAAGCTGTACAGTTTGCTAGCCTTCCGATGAGGATGCTGAACCCCAAGCCTCCTGCAAAACGTATATGGCAAGCACCTCAGCGTAATGTGAATACTGTAATCATAAATGCGCTGAGTAAGTTCATTAAAAAGGACAAAGTGTTCAGTTGACGACCATGGCTGCAAAAACTGGGAGCCTCAGGGCCCAACAAACTTGACAGACGTGAAAACACAATGGGCAAAATGAACAAGGGAACTGATGATCAGGACATTGAGCTCGCATGAGTCAGTCACACTTTCAACCGCTGGATTGTAACAGGCCCTGCCGGGAAAGTCAAGATCTTAGATGCGCTCTTGGCAGAAGGAATGGCGAGGATAAAGGAGTTCTTTGGACACATCTTCGGGAAGACACTGGCGTCTTGCACTCATCCTTCAACTGATAGTCGCGAGTCGTGTGAGTTGCGTGACGCTGAAGCTGCCATTCCTTGGTTCCCAATCTTCCGCCACATTGGTGGTTCGCTGGTAGGGTGATTGACTGTTTGCTTCCCATTGCACGTGGCCGCCTATTCCCCGACATGTAGTTAAACGTTACACCACCAGGTCCGTCTATCTGCACTTGGTCTCCTGAGGTCTCCTCTTAACCCCCCTCGCTTGTTGAGTGGAAAATGCGCCGTCCCCTGGCTGCGGGCCCACCTGTGCTCCTCCTCGCGCTGTTGCAGCTCACGCTGCTTCTCCTACAGCCCCCAGACCCAAGAAGTCCTCAAGCGGCTACGGGGAGCTTCTCTCTCTTGTAAGGGGAGGAGCAATAGGCTACCTCTGAGGTCAAACAACTATTTCAGTGCGGACAAACAACAATCACTGCCGCCTGTGGCATGGAGTTGATGCCCTTCTGTCTGTCTCTGCTTCCAAGACACCATGAGTAGGATTTCAATTCAAGAATGCCTTGGCGTGATGGACGTGGGCAAGCACAAACATTCAACACACACACACAACAAGAAACAACTAGTGCTGGATGTGACTCACTATGTTTTCTTAGAGAGCCCATGCCCCAACGCACTACTTACTCATGAGCTCAAGGCATCATAATTAGTTGCAACAACACCAACAAGCAGTATGATGCCAGCGCTACTCCGACCAAATGAGTAACGTGTGCAGCTGTCAAAGCATGTCCGCCACTTGGATGAGGAAGCGCGCCGGGAGTTCAATGCCAAACTTTGTCCAACCGAAGCTTCTTTGCCCCAACGTCGCGGAAAAAAACAAAAAGTGACCACCTCTGCAACATCCAAATGGATGACCACATGGAGGAAGCCAGGTCAAAAGATCGGCCTGGCTTGGGCAAGTAAGAAAAATGCCATGCATGGCTTCTCCAACAGTGGCAGCTATGGGATTGAGCCAATCTCCTGGTTTTTGGGGTGCTCTGGAGCAGGTTGCAGGCAGATTCTTGGCCGAGGCTGTTGGCCGAGGCTGTTGGCCGAGGCTGTTGCTCCCTTCATCTTGGGCTAATGTTACCAAGCAATGCCAAGCTGCCATGTGTCCTGATGCCAGGCTGTTTGCATCCCATATGCCGATTAAGGCCAAGTGAAATCCGAATGGACAGCCTAGAGCGTGATTTGGCATTGCAAGTGTTTCCTGAACATCTTGCACCTAGGTGCTCTGTGCCAAACACCAAGAAACCTCTATGCCCTCAACCACGGGTGCCGAGAACGCCCTGCAATCGCCCAGCAAATCGACACGCACTCTCCTCCAGTCTTGCCTGCTGCCTGGCAAGGATACATCCGACGGGCGTCTGGCTGCCAAATCTTCAAGCAATTGACGCCCCCTTTGCAGCACCTTTGCCGATGCCATCCACGTTCCATCCATGTGCACAGCAAAACTCGGCTACCTAAAGCCGGGAATCATCCGGCCCTCCAGATCAGCAGAGTCTTTGCCCACTTCAACTCTCACAACTTCATCAGATGCCAGGGTGGTCTTCTACCGTTTCCGGAACCTCGCAATGCCAACCTGTCCCCTACAGGAAATAATTCGGGCAGCAAGCAGCATGCGCATCAGAAGCCATGTTCGACAACTCTGAGTTACTTCATTTGCATCCATGCGGGCCTCCCAACATGTCCATAAGCCCAAATGAGTAAGGTCTCGCCGTCTCCGCTCACGAGTCCACTTGATACGAACAAAGTCTGACCCTTTCTGAGCAAGTGGGCCACAGAACCACCCCCCCATCAACAAAAAAAGGCTTGATGTGAGTCACAATCAAAACCCGGCAATTATTACAATGGTTGACCCAGAACCATGTAAGGAAACGGCCGCAACTATTTATGGCTGGGATTGTCCCTTACTAAGGGACATCTACCCGGGTTCTGACTGTGTCTCATGTGGGAAACGCTTGCAAGAAGTCTCAAGCAAGTCAATCTTCCGCATTTAAGGGCAAGCCCTCCCCCCCAACCGCCCCACCCCAAACCAAAAGTCAATGCTGCTACGCGGTCCCCTACAATTTCTGAGGGTCCAAAACGGGGGTTTCAAGGAACGCACCATACATGTTTGTGTCTTGTTGGTTTTCTTCGTTCCTTGATATTGATGGTTGTGTTTTCTTTGTCTTCTGTTTTTCACAGCCCCCATGGCGTCCCCTTCTGTAAGCATACCTCCTGTGGGTCATGCAAATCATAATGCAGTGGTGTGGCAAGTTTGGTTGCACATGTGGGTGCGCAAGCAATGCTTGCAAACGCTATGCTTGTATGGGTATCCTACATCAGGCTCGAACCATCAATGGCAGCATGATTGCGCATCTGGGGAGTGTTGAAGCAACACAAAGCAACAAACGCGCGCCGCCCCACCCCTGACCTGAGAAATCCAACATTGTTGCAAAACGGGTTTCTTAAGAAGCTTGTGTGTGTTTTGTTAATCTTTGTTGCAACCTTGCCTTTCTTGGCCCATGTCTCCGTCCATTCAAAGCCTCCAGACTTTCTCGTGTTGTTTCATGCACACCCTCGATACGTCCCAGCCCAGGCCTCTCCATCTCTTGCTGCCTTTGCAGCTCCAAGTCCTTTTCCATGGATGCCGCAGCCCGCGCCTGCGAGTGGGGCCGAAGCCAAACGAGATTGGATGGCCAGTGGCTGCCATCACCACGTTTCAACATGTGGTGTTCTTTGCAGTTTCAGGGTAACTTGTTAGGGCTACTTCTTCCCTATTTCGGACCAACTGCGGCAAACTAAATACACACACACACATATGCTACCCAACCAACAAAAGCAGAACATGAGACCCAACAAACAAAAGTACTAGTAACACACTGTTGTCCCAGGAAGCGTGCCTCTCAGTCTCACTGATCTGACGCATCAAAAACAATCAAACACGTCGCCTACAGCCCAAAACCCGTGCATCGTGCTCGGGAACTCGCATTCCAGAAAGCGGAAGGTTTAGCCTCCAAGAGTCTGCCCAAGCTTCACTGAACTGACATTCTGAGGCTGCTGAGTCTTGGAACAAGCAGGCTGTCCTTCCAGCTTTCGGTGGTGCTCAAATCAGGCTTTGCTGACATCGGTGCCAACCCCAAAGTTTCATTGCATCTGGATGTATCCCTTGTGAGCTCGCTATAGCTTGTGCAAATCAGATGTTGGGTGTTGCGACACAAACTTGTAACGACATGGCTTCCCAACTTCTAGCGGCTAAGTCAAACATTTCTTGCCACTCACAGCACTCAAGGCCTGTGGACTTCGGGTGGCCTTTCAATGAAGTTTCCACAGGCCATCTGGCAACTCCAAAGCCCAATTGACAGCCATGGAACAAGTGTTTCGCATTCCATCTGCAATTTGTACCAAAACACAACAACACCTGTAATAAGGGGACCTACAACATGGCGAGCCCGTCTTACCGCCGGCAAATATCACTCGCCCGCACCTGAGGACGCTGTGGAGATGGCGGCATCTCGCCCTGACACGCGCGTGGCTTGGTTCACAGTAAGGTCGCATTGACCAGATGCTGTACCAGTTGGGATGCACAAAACTCTATGAAAACTGCGACAACCTATCTGCCAGCTGGTGCAGGAGCTTGCCCGGCCCATCCGCAGTACCATAGACGATGCCCAGGGACGGTAGCTGGCACTCCCCTCAAACCTGCAGTGGGGGTTCCATGAACTCAGGACTATCAGTCAATTCACTGCGCGAAAGGCTTCTTGACATCCGCCCAGGCCCTCTTTCAGGTTGCGCTGGAGCAACATTCAAGTGACATCAGCTTCTGCAGGTCCCGCCCTTCCAAAAGTGCTCTTCCAGGAACCTTGCTTTTACAATCCCTGCTGGTTTGTTGCCTGAAAAAGCCACTCAACATCCACTCTGTGCAACTCCCGCAGTGGTGATGAGCTTCTGATAAACTGATAAACCGCCAGCTTTTCTGCAGCCAAACTCAGAAAACTCTCTCGCCTTGCCTTGCCTGTCATTGCTGTGGCTTCCCTTTTTGCACCGTCATATATATATATATATATGTATATATATATATATACAAGCATAAATACAACAAAAGATGAACTAGTTAAATAACCAAACAATAAATAAATAAATCATATCAATTAACAACACTGTTACACAATTAACCGACAACTGTCGTTCAATATATGTACTTGCGTGTATGTGGGGCTGCTTTTGGGAGGGTACCTTTCCGGGGTTGGATTAAAGGAACACCAAAGAGAACCATTCATTCTGGGATACACGGATATATGTATGCGTGTGCCTTGCCTTTCCACTGGCTGCGTGTGGGAATCACATCCGAACCCAATACCATCGAATACAGCAGCAGCTGGCTACTTCTGACATGGCATCCCCATGCCTTTCTTCTGGCAGTTTTGACCGACTCCAGCATTGAACATGATGCAGGGAGATTCGGAGAGTTTCTTGTGGTGTGCTGCCACACACTCCTCAAGAGTTGGCAAACGGGAGCAAATGGCAGCTGCAACCAAGCTCCCAAAACACTTCCACCTACTCGATGTGTATGTCACCACCTCGCTGGGTAACACGTAGGCACGCGTTGAGAATGTCTATTGCCAAAACGGGCATTGCTTGTAACTATGAAGCGATGCCACCTAGCTTGTGAATTCCTGGCAAGGCCCCACTTGTTGGCTACAATCGCTGGTTCTGCCTTCATCGGCTCACGTGGAAAGTCGTTGCAAACAGCTGCGCAACGCACGGGCATGGCAAAGCACACAGAAAGCGCAGAAGGACTTCCGCGGACCTCTATCACGAGCATTTCCTGACGGAGGGTGTCGAGATCTTCGTTCACCACAAGGGCGCTGAAACCCTCAACATGCGGGACACGCAGTCAAAGTCAACCTGGGGCTCCATCCAAATCCACCAGGGATCCATTGAACCTCGCCCCCAGGCTTCCCCTGGCGCCTCCGAGTCCGAGCTCCTGCGACTGGGGTCACGCGTCATGGAAAGTGGAAGGCACCACTTGGGGGTGGTAAGCAAGGATTCACCACACAAAACGATTCAAATAGCTTTGGCTTCCCTCTAGTTCCTTTGTGCTTGTTTTATCTTTCTTTACGTAGAAACCCCAAAAAGACAAAGATACTCTCATCAAAACTCGAGAAGGGCGAACCGAAAGCTGGCACCTCCATCGGAAGAGCCAATGAGCCTTTGTAACCGGCCCGCTCTACTTGCCCGTGGACTCCCCAAAGAGCTTATGAACTAGGAATGTCCTAAACAGGCCAAGCGTGCCTCTATGTACCGCAGCAGGCGGCAAACCAATCCAACCTTGACAGGGGGTGAACCCCCGTGCCGTGCCCCTAAAAACATATCACCGTCACACCCACTTTTGTGCCGTCTTGCCGCCCTCCCCTACGTGGAAGCCCCGAATAGCGGAATAGAAGCCTGTCCTGGATGCTTAACATGCTCCAAGATTACGCAAAAGCGCAGATGAGGATGGCCTTAGCCTTACGCTTGCTTCCTGCGCTTTGCTCTGTCAACCTCAAACCGCGCAAACCCAATTGCGTGCACATGCCTGGTCTTGCCCTTGACTTGGAGGAAACCGCTTCCTGATTGCGCACATTGTGCCGCCCAGCTTGCCACAGCAATGGGTGCCCCGCAAAGCGACTGGACCCGTGTGCTCCCTTCAATGAAGGAAACAATTTGATAAACCAGACTGTGTCCATCTAGCAACTTAGGACCCTTGCCGCCCAACAGAACCGTGTCTTACCAACCATCATTTGACATATTTTGCCGATGTGGGGCCGTAGAGGGCAACTTGCGGCAACAACCGTCCTTCACATTCAATCGCAACCCTTGCACATGGTATTGCTCACCCTCACCATGACAAAGAAACACGTCAAGCATTCCTCCTGCGCCTTGCTGACCAAAAGGCCACAACTGTTCGGCGAAATTCTTGAATCTTCAAGACCCTGCGATTTTGCCATCTAGTTGCTTGAAGTTCTCCTTGTGAGCCGTATTGCTCGTGATTGATGGGGAGGTTGAGTTGCCGTTTTCTCGTGTTTCCCTGCAAATGTCCAACCAAACCAGCCAACGGCCCTCTGCTCACTCGGCGCTAACGCAGAGAACCCCGGGTCCTTTCTTGGTAGCTGCTGGCGTCCTCCACATCAGAACTATAAGCGCTGTAGTCCGTGGAGATCGAACGTCGGGAATCGCTTGCACCTCAGTCATGGTGAGCCTCCCACCTGCCTCCTGCTGATGTCAGTCGAGCCTTTTTTTGACTGGGGGGCCTTGCATGCTTGAGCAGCCGCAATCAAGTCAAATTCGGAAAGGTGGCCCTGATCAAAGGGTTCCTTTGCCCGGGCCTGCCTGTCAAAAGTAATTACTGCAACCATCCAACGACGAAAACGACTCAAACTTCATTTGATGACAAAGCCCGTGCTTCTCTATTGTATTTGTGCATTTCCCCCTTATCGGTTTCAGAATGGTTTGCATGGATGCTGCCCTTGCGTAGCAAGAGGCCGCAAGGGCTCCTCCATTCGGGTGCGAGGATTGCCGCAAGTGAGTACCAGATTTGTGTTCAACACGGTTAAAACCCACAAACCGTGTGCCAAGCCGTCTTGAGTCTTGGCGCTCAAAGCACACATGGAGACCAAGACTCAGGACAGGAACACCAGTCGAAGGGAAGAATTCGCAAATCGATACCGATTCTCTTGACAAAGGCAGCTCCGCCCTGAGAACGCGAAACCTGACCAACTGGCAAGTCATGATTTGCACCGGAGGCAAACACATGAGCAGAACAACATGCGGACAGCTGCCACGCTCAGACCCGATCCCAAGAGGACTCCGCGCTTGGCTGTGCGAGCCTCGGCAAATGCAAAGGATAGTGGCTGATGCTGGCTGGAACCGTTGCAAACCCCGCAATCACAAAAGACTTGCGAATTTCATCCCTGGGATTCACCAGCAGTCTCCCCGAAAAAGGGGTTGCTCGCTGCCCGGGCCTGGCATGCGCCCCAAACACCGAAGCAATTGCCAAGTAACCGCCGAAAATTGCTTCTCGGCTCTGAACGCGGGGCACTGAACATGCTCGCAAGAGGATCCTTGGAGGTTCAACCCACTTTGAGCTGGCCAAAGCCAACAACCGTGAAACGACATGGGACAACTGGGGGCTTTCCTCGAAGCCGTTGCAATCCCATGAAGTGGGAGCGAGCCTGCCTTCGACATGCAAAGGAAGACGCCGCCACCTGGGCATCGGGTCCAAATCCCAGCTGAAAGAAGCTGCATTGTGATCCGAAAGGTCGCTGGCAACCCTGGCTAACACATCCCCCGTTGCTCCGTAGCAGGCTTTCCTTGTGGCTTGGGGTTGTTTCATCAGGGCTTGAGGCTTGCACCTCTCCATTCATCAGCCAGATCTACAAATCAAAGCTTCACACAAACTGGAACCACTGGGAATGCGTTCGCACCGGAAATCCGAAGTCTCCCGAGTGCGAGGCTCAAAGCTGCCACCAGGCCGACAGCTATCAGCCTCGGGGCAGTGAGGCCTCTGCCCCAAGGCAGTGAACTATCCCCGCTGTGCAGCCTCCCGACATCTCCCGACATGCAAGTCACAAACGGGTTTGAGAACATTGGAGCGCGGCCAGTTCGTCTGAATTGGCAAATGTCGCTCCCTCATCAAATGCCCACCTAAGCATGACGAAGCCAGTCTGACAATATGTTTAACGCCTACTTTGCCTAGCCTCCGTTTTGGTCATACGTGCGGGACGAAGGGAACCACCAGTTCTTGGTTCCTCATTTCAGTGCTGAAAACAGAGGGACAAAAGGTGCCAAGTGCAGACTGCTTATTGTTATAGAGGCATTGGCGGCCTTCGGCTTGGCGCGCGGCGTCCCGCTAAGGCTATTGCCTAGCGATGGCTCCGACCCCGGTGAGAAGTCAAGCGAAGCCCCATCCCCCTCTCCCTACCCAAGCCAAAAGCTTGTATCTTGATGTCGGCCCTTGACGCCAACAAATTTGTCAGCATTGTTAGGGCCCAGGGCTGGCTTTACTTGCGCAAGGGCGGCGCTGTGTTTCAAGCCGACAGCGCTTGCCTCCAAACATGCCTCTCGTTGGAGCAGCGGTCGTTGAGGCCTATGCGCCCGGCTTGCGGTCAGCTGAGTTGGGAGCACACGGTCTCCCAAAACAGGCTAACGGCCCCCCAAAGTGGTTGGAGTCCCTTTGGTTTTCTTCAAACCGGCCTTCGGTCTGAGCAAGCCCCAATGCAATAAGAACTTGGAACCGGTTGGCGTAATGCCAGACGCTGACAACCAATCGAAAATGGGGTCCAAGTTCTCTTCCTGCGATTGTAAGCATCTCATGCGGGAGGTCAACTGAAACACTCTCTCGCTGATTGGACCGCAGTTGCCCCTCCCTGCCATGCTTCACACGGAACAAGCAACCCGACGGCGCGCGCTGCATTCTCAAAGTGCTTCAAGCTTCTTGGAAATTGTAGGTTGCCGTTTGCCAAGGCGCAAAACCCTCACAACGCGCTGCACCATGACTGTTTGAAAACATAAGTTGTTGTAGGTGCGGTAACAAAAGAGAACAATGCATCGCTTGGCAAAACTTGGCCCACATGCTGCATCCCCACCAGCCGCCGCTGCCCCACTTCCGACTGTGGCAGGCCAAGTCCACAAGAAACTGATCACTGATCACTTTTCGGTACCCTGAAATGAAAGTCAATCAACGTCAGGGGCTCTTCGCAGAGCTTTCTTCATGTGGGTGCCTGAGCAGGGCTTTGAGCTCCTGAATTCGCCATACAAGTCGAATGTCTTGCTCTGTTTGCCCGCCCGGCTTCCTCTCCTATGCAATCCTCCCACCCTTCCTCACACGCGGAAGCGGGCTCATATCAAACCGTCATGCTTCGGCATTCCAAGCCCGTGCTGTGTTGATTTGCTTCTGATTTGCTCGTGACATGTCCAAGGTGTTTTCTCCCCCTTCGCCATTTTCGGCACCGGCCTAGTCCCTGGTTTGCTGGGAATTGAGCTTGAAAAAAAACATGGCGGTGGCTCAAAAAACCGGTACCAAAATGGAACCCTGGTAAGTGGAAACATGGGCCAAAACCTGCGTAACCCCTGCTGTTTAATTTTGAGCCACACCCACATGAAAAGAAGGATTGAGGAGGCACACCATGTCCGTCCCCTCCTAGGAGGCCGGCCAGCGCCTGCCAAGGAGCAGCCTGGCAGGTCATCGGCTAGCCCATTTTGGGGTAGGTGCCCCACTCATTTTAGAACCTATTTTAGTGGGGATTGGGATGTTCACTGGAGGTATGGGATTTTGACCCATGGCCACATGGGCATGGGGCGTTGGTGAGGAAACCGTCGGCATGCCCCTCATGCTTTGATTCATGCCCCACCCCTGGTCAAAAACAGCGCTCAGTCTATCGGCGGTCCCTGTGGCCCCCGGGTCGCTGAGGTGAAACAATCCCAACAAATGCATCCGGCATCCCTGCAGTTCTTCAAATGCCAATTGAGGGATACCTTTGGTAACAAGGGTTCCATCATTTTGCCATGTACTCTTGAGAGTGCCCGTGTCTAAAGCTATGCGTCTACGACTTATGCTGCCATTCTCCTTTCTAGCATCTAAGTCGTGAGCAAGGGAGAGTCCTTTCAAAGACAAGAAGAGGGTCCCTGTCACACACACACACAGATAGAAATAAATATATATATATATATGTGTGTGTGTATGTGTATACACATATATGTGGATATATACATATATTTATATGTGTGTGAGTATGTATGTATACCTGTTTGTGCCCCAGGTCGTCAAGACAGCCTCAAGAACACACATTTGTCATTCTCGAAGCGAGACATGCCCCGCACCAATCTGATCCAACCACCCATCTGCCCGACAAGCTCGGGCCTGCAAGTCCATGAGCAGCCTCAGGGCAGTGGCCGCTGCCAAATATGAAAAGTTTAGATGCCCAACAAACACTTTGGCGAAAACAAAGGTTTGATCAACAAAATGCAAGAAAAAAAAGAGACTGGACATGTTGATAGTTTTTTTTACTTTGAAAACAATCATCGATTTGGCTCTGCTCAAACCTATCCAAACATCTTCCTAGAATCATCCTCTGTAAAAAACATCATCAAAACATCATCCTCTGGGCGCTCTTTTCCTTTCCCTGTCTCCTCCTCATCGCGTCTTAGCCTCCGTGTCTCCATTTTCTTTTCCCTGCCGTTGCCCTCTCTCCATACCGGTTACAATTTTCCCTTTCCCTCTGTTTTTTCCCCTTTTCCTTTTCCCTTTCCCTTCTCTTTCTCCTCTTCCTTGTCATCTCCCATGCTCTTTGCCTTATCCTTTTCATTCATTCCCTTTTGACTCTTCCTCTCCTTCATCTCTTTCCCCGTCCTCGCCCGTGTCCCTTCTCCTCTCTGTCATCTGCCTTCTTCGTGATTTCTCCTTCCTCCTTCCTCCTTCGTTCCCCCTTCAGCTATGAACAAGCTCCATAGAGCTTGCGCCTAGTTGGAACCATTTTGCGCAAGAAGCTGGGACAGCGCAGCGCATATAACCAAAGCATTCAAGAAACTGAAAATGGAACAGCTTCTGCGGAGGGCGCTTTAGTCTGACGTCTGACAGTGTCTGTTTCAAGCCTGATCAAAATCGCGTTCCAAGCTGGAGAATATAGGGGAAGTTGGGTAGGATCATTCTTTGATGTTGCTTAAAGAAGGATTCCGGTCAGGATGATTTTCGAGGATTGATTGAAGATTGTTCACAGAAAACAAAAAAGCACGCGGGCTTTTGCCGCTTTTGCTCTTCAAGAGCACGAGGAGGGAGGTTTGGTCTCGAAAATGTTAGTTGGGGATGACATTTGACAAATCATCCCTGACCAACATTTTCTAGACCAAACCTCCCGCACAATGCTCTTGAAGAGCAAAAGCGGCAAAAACCCCGAGTTTCTGTCAAAGGATCTTCGACAAATCTTCGAAGATGCTTCGAATATGTTTTGAAACTTGTTTGAATGAATATTGCGCACAAAAGAAAAACATAGGTTTTGCTGCGTTTGATATTCCTGTTGTTTTTCTTCCGAAAAATACTCCAATCGAACCATCTTCGAACAATGTCCGAAAAATCTGCCTGACCAGAATCCATCTTCAAAAAACACATCAAAAAACATCCTACCCAACACCAACCTTCCCATTACCATCCTGCAAAAAATGCTACACTGCCAAACGGCAGACTAACGCGCCCTCCGCAGAAGCTGTTCCATTTTCAGCTTCTTGGATACGTTGGTTATATGCGCTGCGCTGTCCCAGCTTCTTGCGCAAAATGGTTCCAACTAGGCGCAAGCTCTATGGAGCTTGTTCATAGCTGAAGGGGGAACGAAGGAGGAAGGAGGAAGGAGAAAGCACGAAGAAGGCAGATGACAGAGAGGAGAAGGGACACGGGCGAGGACGGGGAAAGAGATGAAGGAGAGGAAGAGTCAAAAGGGAAAGAACGAAAAGGACAAGGCAAAGAGCATGGGAGATGACAAGGAAGAGGAGAAAGAGAAGGGAAAGGGAAAAGAGGACAAAACAGAGGGAAAGGAGACAGGGAAAGGAAAAGAGCGCCCAGAGGATGATGTTTTGATGATGTTTTTACAGAGGATGAGTCTAGGACGATTTTTTGGATAGGTTTGAGGAAAACCAAATTGATGTTTTTGTGAAAGCAAATCCAAGACACCTCGGTGTGTAGCTGCAAACATGTCATAAAACATATGACACAAGCAAGCACGGACAAACACAAACACACAAACATGCAAACACACAAACACGCACAAACACGCACAAACATCCACACCCAACCACACACCCTCACCCAGACACACACACACACAAACACACAGAGACCCAGAAACAAACAGAGCGTCTCTCACACACACACACACAACACCGCCCCACCCCACAGCGCCCTCACCCCACCCAAACCACCCCCACACCACATCTCGCCACGCGCACACACACAACTACTATACATGGCGTGTAGCACGCTACCATGGGCGAAGACCAGGGCTGACCAAGGGTTGGAGACATTGCCGCACCCATATTTTTGCCTGAGCAAAAACAACTTTATCGTATTAGGTACATTGTTTCATTCTGGAGAATACATGTGGACAATTAGTGTATTTGATACCCTTTGATTCATCTGGTACCGATCGCCCCACGGGGAATGCAAGGTCCGCAAGGATCCCATTGCAACCGCATTGATCAACCCACCTCCCGCTGTCTGCCTGTATGCCTGTGTGGTCACAGCTTTGACTTCCGCATGCTGATGTTGATTGACTTAGATTGACCGTGAGCTGGAAGGAGTATTCCATGATCGGGGGCAAAGTCTTGAACGAACTCCGCAGCTAGTTTGGACGCCGAAAGCCACTAAGCGGGCGTTGCGGTCACACAAGTCCAGCTCCTGTAGATTGGGACACTGCAAAAGACCGCTGTGGACCCTCAAGCGGACAAAATCACGGGTCCTATCTAACAAGCTGTCTCCAAGGCATCTCGCAGCAACTAAACCTAGCGGAACCCTCCTCCAATTTTGTTCACCCTTCCTCTTCACGGCAAAACGGGAAAACAAAAAACAACTTGAGCTCTGAAAGCTTCAATCCTTTTGATGCTGAGGTGTTCTTTTTTTTTTTATGGCGTAGCCCTGGTATTGGCCTAACCCTGGCACAGCCTGGCGTGCACGAAAGGAGACACCAACGGACAAAGGTTTGGGGTGGGTTTAGGGTACTCCGTTTAGGGTAGGTTCAGGCCAGTTTAGGGTGTTTAAGTAGGCTTACGGTGGTTTAAGGTAGGGTGCCACCTACCTCAAAGGCCTAAACACAACCATGGCCGAAGCCAATTTTAAACCCACCTTCAACCACCCGTAAACACACCCGAGACCAACCCCAAGAAGCCCCACCATAAACCAGCACTAAACCATCTATCTCAAGCACAACTCCCAAATTTGCTCTCAATAGGCCTGGAACCCACCCGGAGCCAAGCCTGAGCCAACCTGGAACCCACCCTAAACCAAGCCAAAACCAAAGCCTGGTGATGCTGAGGATGTTGAAAGCCATGCATAGCAATGCTGAGGCAGTTAAAACGATGCCGGGCCTTAACTTACCCTAAACGGACTACCCCAAGCCTACCCTAAACCTACCCTGAACCCATCCTAAACCTCGTCCTACCGAGGCGCCAACCAACCAGCAAGCCAGCCAGCCAACCAACCAACCACCAACCACCTGCCAGGGTTAGCCCTGTGCCAGGGCGAAGGAGAAACAAAAGAGAGCACCCTTTCCATCCCTCTGAGTGGCAACAACACCTGCCGGTGGTGAAACCGGGCTCCCGGCGTGGTCGTTGTGACAGGGAGCTTCCGACAGCTGAAGACCTGGACGCGGGCCCCATGCGCGCTGTAAACCTGGGTTGGTCAAATGCAAAGGGATGGGGCGATCCCGGGGGTCGCTAAATACGCCACAGGGGAAGGGCAAGGTACTGGCAGAAGGACAGGTTTCGTATTAAACAAACCTACCTTTGGATGTTGAAGTGGAGGAACCAATTATGGGATCCGAGGCCGGGAAGCCACATGAGCGTGTCGGAAATCAGTATGTCTGGGCGGTTTGGCGAAGCTGTGGAAAATTGAGCGGCCAAACCCCGTATCCTACATTGACACATGGAACAAGATCCTTTGCAATTAAGAGGTGGGCTGCGCCATGTGAGCACATAAGGCATGCGCTTGGCGCGAGGGCTGCAAGACTCAGCAAGACCAATGCTTGGTGTGGCTTGGTGCCGCCAAACACAGTTTGCACTAATCCCTCATACTGCATTGATCTCGCTGGCTGTTCTGGATTGCACTGAAACGGGTCAACTGGTTTGTCATGCAGAACTGTCGTCTACAACACGAAGGACTCCGAACCAAGAACCGGCAACAACTGTCTGCGTCGCCTCAGGGAGCAATTGCCCGTCCTGTCAAGGGAGCTTTAGCGGCACACGGGCTTCTTCAAATCCAAAGGCGAAGCACTCTAGCTGAATATTTCTCAGACCTAAAGGATCGATAGGCCATGTTGTCACAGTTTGCATTCGTACTGAAAATATCAAGCAAGCCTTTCCCCTTTTTGGTCCACATTGTCCTGGCATACTGGATCGGCAGTCGGCCGGTAGCCCTTCTCGCAGAAGGAACCCTTAGTGCGAATGCCATGGGGCTTCAATCAAACGCACCATGTGCGAATGTGCGGGAATGTCTTAAAATGGTGAAATTCCTTCAACGTTTTGGCTTCAACTGGAGAAGGACATGCGAGCTCTGAGAGATCAAAGGCTGGCATTGCAGTACTCGGTGGCCTTATGGAAAGCAAGCAACCCTTTCCTTTGCCCATGTGCAGAAGGCACCCAGCTGGACAAAAATGCATGCACAACAAACAAGCTTGCCACGGAACAAACTTGGCTGCAGCTGTCAAGCTCCAGTCGCACATGTTGCGCACCAAGCTTCTGAAAGGCTGGGCGTGCCAATGACAAAGCTCTCCGACGGCAGCTGATGCCACGTATGTGGCGGCAATGGCCACCCAAGAAATGGCCATCCAATAAAAAGGATGGCAAACAAACTGTAGCAACGCGAAGGGTGCAAACATGCCAAAACCATTGTCATGCAAAATGCAGCCAACACAGGCACACAGCTGAATCCTTCTGGCCCAATCTATGGCATCCGCCGCCAAAAACCCGTGTTCAAGCTAGCACAGGGTACCCATCAAGATCAGCCTGAGCAAATGTCTGGCTCCCAGAGCCCTGAGGTGTGGACACATTTGCCGCCGTGGGGGATGGATGACCTCAAGAACTCAGATCTGCATGACGACTTCTTTGGCGCCGATTCATTGCTCGGCATGCAACCCGATCGGCGTGGCCCAGGTTTCGACCATCGTTCTTTTT